ATACCAATCTGTCACACCCCTGAACCAGACGGAGGAAACGTCTGGGGTCTCGTTCGTGACATCATCCTTGTAGTATCATCACATAGTATATAATTGAAACATAACATCATCATCATCTCACATGTAATATCATCAACATACATTGTTTTCATCGAGTATTGTGTTTGACTATCACATGCCAAAATCATTATAGTATGATGAAACAAAATATAACAAAATATCCATTAGTTTGTTCTGGCCAACCTGCTTCAACGGTTTCCTGAGAATACAAGTTAATTAAAAAGTTCAACATAAAAATGTTGGTGAGTTCATAAGCATGTTTGAGAAAATGATTTGTATAATTTTTTATTCACTAGAAAATCCTACATTTTTTGAAAACAGTTCAGTATGTTTGTGTCCAATTTTGTATTAATGCATGTGTGTTCATGTTTACTAGTATGCAAAAGAGAATGAAGAAAATGGAAAAAGAATGTACAGAGAATGCCCCCAGACAACCCTATGTTGTCTGTAAAAGAGAATGCTGGTATACCAACCCCCGAGGTTGAGTACCGACATGAGTATGTTCCCGAGTAATCCAATTAGAAAAGAGAATGGTCTCCCGTAAATTTATAATGTTAATTCTTCTAAGTGAGTCTCTATAACCATACTAGATAATGACAATTTCGTCTGTCATAGTGTTGTTGGACGCCGACGGAATAAAATAAAGTTTTCGTCACCCTAGACTAGTTTCGTCTAACTGTAGCGAACAACTCAGGTGTGGGGTGTTATCCCCGTATAGATATATACACAAATCCCCTCTCTCCCTCCAAGAGACTCTGATTATAACTACAGGCTACGATCGTACACTCAATAGGTGTCAACCGACACGTCTGACTAGATCCTTAATCCAAATTTTACGCGAAGAGAAACATATAAAGCATACTCCAGCCCAAATGAATCATGTAAGTGAACAACTAAGGCTCACTAAACATGTAAGTCATTTCAAGACTCGAAAGGAATGAGATTATATAACATGGTCCCAAAATATACATAAAAAAGACACTAAGGCCCATCTCACATGTGTGTTATTTACAGGCCCAAATAGCATGCAAAGAGTATCCAAGGTCCATCGAGCATGTTAGTGGGTCAATAAGGACCAATAAACATATAAAGAGTATTCATGACTTATCAAGCATATAAATAGGCCACTAAGGCCCAATAACATGAGACTGACAAAATTAACCCCTTTGTTATTTTATTGTTTATTTTAGTTTAATTTTTTTTTACAAAAATAACATAAAAGACCCACTTTTTTGTAAAAAGGACATTCATGGCGCATTGAGCAAAAGATTTACAGTTAAGGCCCATTTGTGGTAAAAATATATTTTAGGTCCCTTTTTAGAACAAAACTTGCATTTAAGGTTAGTGTTTGTAAAAATAACATTTTTAACTTACTTTTGTCAAAAATATCATTTTTTGCTTGATTTTTATAAGGATGTGCATTTTCGGCCAATTATAGAAAATTTCATCTTTTTGGCCCAATTTTAATAATTTCACATCTTTAATCTCTTTCATCAAAAATTTACATCTTTGGCACAACTTCGTTGAAAATGACATTTAAGCTGACAAAAGTCCAAAAAGTTACAAATTTTGTCCCAAATTCGCAAGAAGCCCAAATTAGGCCCATTTATGAAAATGTTTACATTTTTAGTTCTTGTAAAGTCTCACACGTCGAAATTAACCATGTTTAGCAAAAAAAAAAAATCCTTTTTGAACCCCATACTAATCGTGAGTTACACGAATAACTCAACTTTTTTTTTGTCATTTTTGTTACTTTTAGCCCCTTTTATGAAGTTGTTCTTAGCTTTAAGTAACTTGTATGTATTTTAAAACCTTTTTTTGTAAGATAAGTTGAAAAAAGTGTTATGTTATTCCAATAGCTTCATCTTTTACTATATCTTTAAATTCGTGAAGTTTACAACACATAATCACATATATAACTACAAAACACAAAAAAATCATGCATACACACATAGATCTACACAAAGCAACTTGTATTCTCCTTCAAAACAAAGTAAAAATAAAAAATAAGGGGTATGAACTCACATTGCTTTGAAGCTTTCGGTTTTTGGTGAGGAAATGAGAAGATCTCAGCCCTAGATGTTTCCTTGAGGAGATTTTCGAGATCTAAGAAGTTCTAAGAGCATGGATCATGAAATGATGTGGGTTAAGAAGAGATTTTTGGTATAAACTTGAAGTTAAACCATCGAGTCAAACAAGAACTTACCAGGAGTGATGATCTTTGATGAAGAGTTCTTCATCTTTCACAAGACACGCTCGAAATTTTGGAGATATGATGAGTGAATTCTTGATGTTCTAGAGAGATTTTTGGTGGAGTTGAAATGAAAGAAGATGAGAGTGGTGTGACACTCTTTGGCTGAGAGTTAAGAGGAAGAGAGAAGAAGGAGAAAAATGTTGAAATAATGTTGCATGGATGTATGTGATTGTCTTGATATTAGTTGTGTTTAAGCATGGAAGTCCACCATACAAAGATTAGGTGGAACTTAGCTTGTCATCTTGTTATTTTTTTTTATTGGGCCGAGAATGAGATTGTGTGAGGAGAAATGTAGGGCGAGGCCCATAAAAATGAAGTGGGTCATTTTAGGCCCAACATGGCCCAAAATACTTTAGCTTAATGAATGTGGGTCCAATTAGAGCCCAAATAGGGTTCCTTGGCCCAACATACCCAACTTGAAAGTTTATTGGCCCATTAGGCCCAATAAGAGGATCATAGTCCATAATAAATTTGAATTGGGATTTTTAGGGTTTCAGACCCATAGTTAAATATATGAGATGTATTGTATTAGGTTTTGAACTTCACTCAGGAGTTTTGATTCAAATGGATGATTTTGATTAAGCATAGAGTATGATATTTACATGTAACAACGCAAATTTTCAAACAAATTTTTCATTTAAAATAAGTGATTTATTTCAACCAAATATAATTATTCCAAATTTCATATCAAAATACAATCATAAAATCCCCAAGATCTCAAAATATCAACAGTGTGTACTCGTCATGCCGGCGCCTTCCCACGGTCCTCGCTAGTACCTGAAACACATACATAACAACTATAAGCATAAATGCTTAGTGAGTTCCCCAGTATACTACTTACGCATATACGCCTTTCCAGGCCCTGACCTTCCGGTCCACAACACAATCGCCTTCCGGCCCTTGAGATAATCGCCTTCCGGCCCATAACATATTGCCTTCCGGCCCATAACGTATTGCCTTCCGGCCCATAAACATACACAGCAAATAATACATTTATCCTAACACATATAGCACATATATCATATATCATATCCGACCTTTCAGTCACATAACATATTGCCTTCCGGCCCATATAAACATACATAGCACGCATAGCAATTACCTTTCCATTTATAGCACTTATAACACATATCATATCCGACCTTCCGGTCACACAGTTAAACCCTTCCGGGTACAGTATAGTGAGAAGACTCACCTCGTGGGTAATGAAAGCTAGCGACTCCTGAAATCACTCGCACTCGATCCGCCGAGCTACAGACTCCCTATAATATCATATATCCCTTATTAATACTTTTATCTTTCAAGACACTGACCCTAAGAAAACACATGTAGGTCAACTCTGGTCAACGGTCAACGGTCAACTTGACCGGACTCGGCGAGTGCTAAGGCGACTCGGCGAGTCTAGACGTCCTCACCAAATCCTGATGTTCCCTTTCTACTCGTCGAGTATCCCTCTTGACTCGACGAGTTCCTCGTGGAAGAATCGCGGGGCCACCCCGACTCCACTCGCCGAGTCTGAAGAACAGCTCGACGAGTCCCAGTTAATCTCCAAGCTACTCGCCGAGTCTGTTCATCGGACTCAGCGAGTCCATGCCATGCAGTCGATCAAACTGCTTCCTGAGATCAGTATTGTCCCGACCATTCATAGGTCTGGTCCTCCTAAGCTGGTACAACACGTAAGACCTTCATTTAGGTGCTCATGCTACACCCCAAGACTTGTAATTTACCTTTTGACTTAAGGCATAAGGATTCCAATCCAAAACCTCTCTTAATTCCCGAAATACATAGGCATGGGACATTCTGGACCTCTAAAGGTCCTAATACAGGGTTATAATCGTTTGGGGAACAAGGGTAATAATCAATCTAGTCACAAAAGGGTTCCATAAACCCTAAATCCATGCACACATCAACATAGCAGAATATGATCCGAAATATTACCTGAATAATGCACTCTCTGTGTCCCCAATCCTCAGAACTTGATTCCCTTGCTGTTCCTTTAGCCAAACCCTTCTCTTCCTTGCACAATAACTTCTTCAAGCTCACCAATGGCCTTCAATCCTTTCTCTAGATGCCCACAACCGATTTAGGGTTCTTCTCAGTCGCTAAAGACGGACAATGACGGCCTATAAGTCCGTTATATACGTTCCAAAACCGAACGGCTAGGGTTTCCGCTGAACAGCGCAGACTCGCCGAGTCCATAATGGACTCGTCGAGTCCAGTCGCTAACCCGCGACCCAGTCTGTGGTCCTACTCGGCGAGTCTGACTCCAACTCGCTGAGTCCCCTCCTAAAACACCCCAAAAACAATATTATAACAATACCTGAAATTCCGGGCTGTTACATTACAAGTATTGCAATAGTTGATGTTTACATGAGGACATAATTCCCTAGCTAAAATACTAGTGGTGACAATTAAGATGCACAATAAAACCCCTTTTAGCAATGATTTTTCTTAATGCATACTCTCTCCAAGCACGAAAGGGTAAACCTTCCACATCAACCCAAACAAGTCTTCCCAATGGTACAAAGTTTCTATCCTAAGCAAGTTTCTTCACAATCTAATGGTTAATAACATCACTAGCCAAGAAATTCTTGCAAGCATCTTTACTCTTAAACTCAAACATAACCCATAACCCACCTACATATCGAATCTCAAAGTCGTCAAAACCCTCAACAAAATAAAGCATCTAGAGATTAGGTAAGGTGGGGAAGTCTCTAGCTTTAACTAGACATGCATGTTTCTTTTTTTTCATGATAAAATCCTCAAAAGGAAGAACAATGGTTTCCTCAACTAGTTCTTTACCATGACTTTCCTTAGAATTGCCCTTAACAATAGTAACATATGAGTTCACCAAATCACCTCTTTTCTCAATTTTAAAAGGAATCGCATGATAATGAGAGAAAGGGGAATCTTTTTTAGAGAATCTTGTAATAGACGCAAAAAGTTTATAATACCCAAACCACACATCACATAACTGTTTAACCATATAATCATTGTTTTGGACACCCGAGAATCTAATAAAACCAAACAATTTCCTCGTACGAGACTTCTTATTGGAAATAAAAACATCCACAACTTTTTCAATATGATCACATGCATGCCACAAATCATTCAAAAAAACTGAATCTAGAACATTTGTAACAAAGAAAGAAGTTACGTGATGATTCCTTCCGGTCAGCCCTTGTCGTTGTCCCTTGTAGTACGAATTATAATCCCAGGTCTTGTCCATATCGCTACGATTCTTATTCCAAGCATCACCGGGCCTCCATCTCGATTCCATAATGAAACTGGAGCGATCAAACAACCCCCTTTTGCCGGTCATGATCGGAAAGATGCTTAAGAGAGGCAACAACGGGTCGACACCACACACATCGACAGTACATATAAAATATTATAATTTTCTTAATTAGAACTTAAGAACCAAATACCTATTAAATTATTGTTAAATATATTATTTGAGTATCAAATAAATGATTTAAATGAGGTGTGTCCTATTTAGTTTGGGACAATCCTACACCCACTCCATCATCTACAATCCTTTGATCCCTTGATTCAAGGGTTGTATGCCTTATTTCTACAAAATACTATTATACTGTTATCACTCACGCATAATCTTAAAAATAAATTATAGAGATAGTATATATGTTCACAAAAAATTATGAAGTTTCATAAGGCTTTTATAACGATTTCGTCCTTAAATTTATAATATGTTGCGGGGATAATGACTTAAAAAACCAATGAAGTTTACAAATCGTTCAAAATACCCCAATTATCTTTTGATCGTTCAAAAAATAACAACCAAGTATGACATCTTACAAGAAACACCAACAAAGATTGTCTATTCTTCAAATAACACCGGGTGGTAACCGGTTCTTGTAGGTGAAGTAGGAGTTCGATTAAAAGTTGACGAGTTGGCAAAACAATTGATGACATGGATGTGGGTGACATGGCATCTTTATTTAAAATGGGATTAGGGCAAAAATGAGGAAGGCCACTTTTTCTTCTCCTGCGTTTCTTCTACTAGTTCTTCTTCTTCTTCTTCTTTTGGTTCTTTTGGTATGTGATGGCTTCAAGCTCAAGCTCCAATATTTGGAAGAAAAATAAGGTTTTTGAGGATTCTTACCCTTGTGGTTGTGGGTTCCTCTCGCGTATTTTGAAGTCTCACAACTTGTTTTTTTAAAGGTTTTCTGGTAGAAAGCAAAGGCCACACAGCTTCCTTTTACAGTTTAATGAACAACACAACAGATGTTTATGCGACTGGTTAACCATTAACCAAAACAGATGTCCCCACTGATAAAATAATTGCAGGGGGAAAATGGTCCAATTTTACGCAGTTTTAAGAACAGGTTTAATAGCAGGGGCAAAATGGTCTATTTTTACATAGTTTGAATAACAGGGGCAAAATGGATCGTGAATAAGATGTTTTTTTACCTTATCAATAGCTTCTTCATCTCTGAGCTCCCTCAACCCATCCACGAGGGACCGATTTTTACGACAATAATACACATCCCGACATCTATTATTGATCAAATTTTGGAGGTAGGTCTTGAAGACCTTGAAATCCATGTTACATACGTCTAGATTTGTAAGAGATGCTTTCTTATGATGGAAGTAAACGAAGGGATTAGAACAAAATACAGCTTGGTGGTAGACATCAATGGTGAGGGAGTCACCATTTGTTGACATGCTTGCTGCACTCGTCGATTTCCCTTTGTGTAGAAATCGATTTTACCTCCTGTGAGTGAAAACCCTAGATCGCCATGTAATTTAGTGAGGGTGGGTGTTTTTAATTCCACGTAATCAGCAAAACAAAGCCATGTCATCTTTTATTTTGCTTGACTTCCATTTCCCGGTTAACAAAAGGTTTTAACCCACAGCTGTCGGTTCCTCTTAATTACAAGTGAACAACCCGGTAACTTAATTTGGTTTTTTAAACAAAACAACAGTTTTATTGGTATTTCTTGAACGATAGAAAGATAATTAGGATATTTTAATCGAGTTGAAAACTTCATTGGTCTTTTAAGTCATTTTCCCTGTATGATCCATGTAAAAATTCTTATCATTTGTCATCTTTTGTATCCTTTTCTTTTGCCAATTTTAATTAAAAAAGAATAGTAAAAAGTTGAATAGTGTAGACGCAAATTCCTTTAGACCATTTTCAATTCAACTTCATTTTTTAACACTAAATAGAATAAAAATGATGCAGATATTATTTCATCTCCGATCCTATAATCTTAAATTTAATATTTACATCAAATATAAATAACTAATAAAAATGATAAATAGAATATAAAAAGATAAAAGTATAAGTAGTTTTTTTATATGCATATGTTAAAATATGAAGTTGATCATGCAAAATTTTAAAATCACATACCGGTATAATGGAATCTAAAATTATAACGAACTTGAGAGTTCTTTTGTAGGACAAAAACCATTTAAAATTTTCCTCTTAAATCAATAAATCTAAACCATTGGTGCCTTAATGATGTTTTAGATTATCACACATATAACTTATATGTATAAACAAATGACAAAAAAAAAAAGGAAAAAAAAAAAGTAAAATTAAAACGTCGTAGAAACTCCTCAGCCTGATTATTCTTTTTGCACAGAAAACTGATGTATATTTTTATTGTATGACCGAATAATAATATCATTAATTCATTATATTAGACCCACGTTACCGAACTAAATTAAAGACTGAAACTTTTTCTGTATATTCTGTTAGGTGCATTGTATTCTTTGAGATAAGCATTTGGAAATATTCAAAGTACCATAAAAAAAATTAAATTAAATTAAATTAAATTAAATTAAAAAAAACAAAAAAAAAAAAAAAGGTTCCCGATGAATGTGTGAACTGATTCACTAGAACAACCGAAAGTTCGTATTTATCGTGCGATTGAGATACGTTGAATAGTTTAACTAAATGAACCGAACTTCGTATGACTTAATTTGAGTACTTGGCAAACCCAAGTAAATGAATTTATTTATAATTTGATTGTTTTAATCAACCTCAACCTTTATAAAAAAAAAATGACAAAGCAAGTTGATCATGATCTCAAAAGAAGTGTGACGATCATTCAAAGGATAAGGATATGCTAAATCGTATGATGATAGAGACCCTGGTGGATAATGTGATTTATTTTTGCATTAATTATATTAACATAATAGGTTTTGTCATACTCGGTTGCCCTTTTTATTCGCATGAAAACACAAATCTAACATTTTTTTTTTGTAAGTAAACATGTCATGGCCTTTTGGTATTATTGTTATTACCATGAATTTAACAACTTCTAATATTTAGACCGAATAACCTTTGATGTGAAACCTTTTTTCTAGGGTGATAGTTGACTTTGATTATGGTCGTTCTTGACTACTAATTTTTCTAGGATGATAGTTGACTTTGATTATGGTCGTTCTTGACTACTAATTTCGATGTTTCTCAGTTGGGGGGGGGGGGGGGGGGTGTTGTTATCAGCTGTAAAGGGAATCAGTTTGCGATCATGAATCACCCGTTCAGGGTTTTGAAAGTGATTGCGAGAATAATTTATCTCGTGAGTAAATTAGGGTTTACGGAATTAGGGTTGGACAGTTAGAGACTTTCTTTTCGTGTGCATGATCGAGTATGGTTGCATATTCACATAAAAGATAAGGAAACTAGTCAGTGAGAGTGAAAATTCAAATGTTACATTAATGAGTTTTCATGTACAAAATGATTGATGAATGGAAACTCTTAGTTTATATTTATTTTTATATTTTGTATAGTACAGGATCCTTACTCTAAATATTGTATATGTAATCTATATACAAGAGTGGGCTTAAATATTACATTTTTCTTATATGTTTATTTTTAATTCTTTTTTGTGGGTGTTCTGTTAAGTGGGAATAAGAAGTTTATAATGTTACTTTTTTAGCTTTTACACTTACGTAAAAAATCAATTTAAGACCGAAATCTAATCGTTTCAATGTGATAATGTCGAGAATTTAATAACGAACCTCTTCTTACCCAATTGCATTCAAATAAAATTCAAATTCATTTTTATTTGTCCATACACATCACAATAGAACAGTGAAGTATTAAGATTCATCTGTACAATAAATAGTATTATTTGCACCTTCCTCTTACAAACTTTTATTCCTCCCAACTTTTAGATAGAAGCTTGATATGTGTAAAACATACTAACTTTAATCGTAACTAACTTAGACAAAAACCAACAAACAATAGGCAGTGCACCTAATTGAATAGTTGTTTAGTGCAGGTAAATAAGGTATCGAACATAGGAAACAGTAATAATGATTAAAACTACTACAAATGTTAACTAATTAAAACACATGTGGGTTATGAGCTGTAATGGGAATCGGTTTGCGATCACGAATCACCCGTTCAGGGTTTTGAAAGTGATTGCGAGAATAATTTCTCTCGTGAGTTAATTAGGGTTTGGCGAATCAGGGTTGGATAGTTAGAGGTTTTCTTTTCGTGTGTATGACTGAATATGGTTGCATATTCGCAGAATAGATAAGGAAACTAGCCAGTGAGAGTGGAAATTCAAACGTTATGTTAATAAGTTTTTAGTACAAAAGGATTGACTAATGGAAACTCTTACTTTATACTTGTTTTTATAATTTTATAATATAGGATCCTTACTCTGAATATTTTATATTTAATCTATATATAAGGCTATGGACATCACCTGTTTTTTATTTGAACTTATACTTCTTGACTTACGGACATCTCTAGTTCTTAGTCTAAGTGGGTTTAAATAATACATTTTTCTTAGATGTTTATTTTTCTTATTATTATTTTTTTGTGGGTGTTCCGTTATGTGGGAATAAGAAGTTTATAATATTTCTTTTTTAGCTTTCACAACTATGTAAAAAGTCAATTTAAGACTGAAATCCAATCGTTTCAATGTGATAATTCCGAGAATTACATAACGAACCTCTTCTTACCCAATTGCATTCAAATGGAATTCAGATTTAGATTTTTTTTTGTCCATGTACATCACAACAAAACGGTGAAGTAGAAAGATTCATATGTACTATAAATAATATTATTTACACCTTCCTTTTTCAAGATTTTCTTCGTCCTAAATTTTAGACAGAAGCCTGATACGTGTAAAATATACTAGTTTTAATCCGAACTAACTTAGACAAAAACCAACAAAATATAGACAATGTACCTAATCGATCAGTGGTTTAGTGCATGTAAGTAAGGTATCGAACACATGGAACATTAATAATAATTAAAACTACTACTAATGTTAATTAATTAAAACACAGGGGGTAATCAGCTGTAATGGGAATCGGTTTGCGATCATGAATCACCCGTTCATGGTTTTGAAATTTATTGCGAAATGAATTTATCTTGTGAGTTAATTAGGGTTTACCGAATCAGGGTTGGACAGTTAGAGGTTTTCTTTTCGTGTGCATGATTGAATATGGTTGCATATTCGCATAAAAGATAAGGAAAGTAGCCAGTGGGAGTGGAAAGTCAAACGCTATGTTAATGAGTTTCTATGTACAAAAGGATTGATGAATGGAAACTCTTAGTTTATATTTATCTTCATATTTTGTGTAATATAAGATGCTTACTCTAAATATTGTATTTGTAATCTATATATAAAGCTATGGACATCTCCGGTTTTTTTTATCTGAACTTATAGTTATTGACTTGAGGACATCTCTTGTTCTTAATCTAAGTAGGTTTAAATATTTCATTTTCTTAGATGTTTATTTTTATTTTTATTATTTTTTGTGGGTGTTCCATTATGTGGGAATAAGAAGTTTATAATGTTTCTTTTGTAGCTTTCACACTTATGTAAAAAAATCAATTTAAGGCTGAAATCCAATCATTTCAATGTGATAATGCCGAGAATTTAATAACAAAGCTCTTCTTATCCAATTGCATTAAAATGGAATACAAATTCGTTTTTTTTTTCCATACACATCACAACAGAACGGTGAAGTAGAAAGATTCATATGTACCATAAATAATGTTATTCGCACCTTCCTCTTTCAAGCTTTTCTTCCTCCCAAGATTTAGACAGAAGCCTGATACTTGTAAAATATACTAGTTTTCATCCAAATTAACTTAGACAAAAAGCAACAAACGATAGACAATGTACCTAATTGAATAGTCGTCTAGTGCAGGTAAGTAAGGTATCGAACACAGGGAACAGTAATAATAATTAAAATTACTAGTAATGTTAACTAATTAAAACCCATGGGAGGTTATCAGATGTAATGGGAATCTGTTTGCGATCATGAATCACGTGCTCAAAGTTTTGAAAGTGATTGCGAGAAGAATTTATCTCGTGAGTTAATTTGGGTTTACCGAATCAAAGTTGGACAGTTAGAGGTTTGCTTTTCGTGTGCATGATTGAATATGGTTGCATATTCGCGTAAAAGATAAGGAAACGAGCCAGTGGGAGTGGAAATTCAAATGCTATGTTAATGAGTTTTCATGTACAAAAGGATTGGTGATTGGAAACTCTTAGTTTATATTTATTTTTATATTTTGTATAGTATAGGATCCTTACTCTAAATATTTTATATGTAATCTATATTTACGGCTATGGAAATCTCCTATTTTTTTTTTATTTGAGTTTATACTTGTTGACTTAAGGACATCTATTGTTCTTAGTCTAAGTGGGTTTAAATATTACATTTTTCTTAGATGTTTATTTTTATTTTTATTATTTTTTGTGGGTGTTCGGCTATGTGTGTTGGATTAGTGTTTAAGCCCGTAACTATATTTGATATGTATTTGACCCGGTTGTGCATTGTCCTTTTTGGTTGCCTTCAACAAAACAACTGGACAATATGATTTATGGAGAGAGAGGTTATTATGATTTATTAATATATTATATTAATAATATATTAAGAGAGAATCATATAGTTTAATTAATATTGGTTAATAATTAGTTAAAAATTAATTTTGTGGCTAAAAGAGATTAATTAAATAAAGGGGACTGAAACTGTCAATTATGATTATTGAGTTTGGGTTGTGCATCCTTATGGATATAAGGGGGGACGAAATTTAGAGTGGGAGCCCACTCTAATTTCATCGAAGGGGCCTTATTCCAGAAGGTTCTTGAAGCTGCTTAGGGCCTAAGTCATCCAATTAGGGTTTTAACTAAAACCCTAGCAGCGCATCTATTTAAGGGACCCCAAGGCTACAGATTTCAGCCACCCAAGATACCCTAGAGTTCCTTAGAGCCGAAATTGTGCCTCTCTCTCCTTCTCTCTTCTAAATCATCTTCTTGCCTTGGTGTTTGTAAGCCATTATAGGTATTACACTTGTGATACTACGCTCTTGAAGATTGAAGATTCTTGCAACTATTGAAAGGTATCATCTAAACTTGTTTTATTATAGATCTCGTTTTCATAGTATGCTAGATTAGGGTTTGCAAGCGTTGGATAAATTTGCATGTACAATAGAGAAACCTAGTTCCAAAGCTTTAGGGTTTTGCATGTACACATAGGATGTTCTTTTGCTCAAAACCCATCAGTGGTATCAGAGTCTTGCTTGGGTTCTATTGTATTTGATGCATGGTGTATTTATTCTTTTCTTAAAATCAAATTTTATGCTATCTGCTTGATAGTCTCGTCGAGCCCTATGAGGTACTCGGCAAGTCCTGTATAGGGCTCGTCGAGTCGGCCTGTCAGACAGACAAATCTTCAGGATTTTTGCTTATTTTGACTTAGGATAATTACCATACTTGTTTCTAATTAATAAAATATGAATTTTATTGATTCCTTATGATTATCTTTGTCAAAATAAAAGATTTTTGTCATATAATTAGATAATTACTATCTTATTTGATAAATATTTATTATTTGAATTATTTGATCAGTTATCTTGCATGAAATTGGATTAGGTCAAAATTAGATAATCATCAAAATTAATTGTTTAATTGCTTATTTGGATTTTGATCTAGATAGTTTTGAAATGTTTTAAAACTTGCCCTCAAGTTTTGAAATTTATATTTTTGATTAAAAGTTTAATTTAAAAAAAATTAAATTCCAAACGATAGAATTTTACAAGTTTAAAATTCACCGTGTACTATTATAATATTATAAGAATAATTATTATATATCTATAAGATAAATGCTAGTCTTACCGTTAGTAGGCCTCATTCACGAAGCCGGTCTATCAGGGGGTATAAGGTTATGGCCTATAAAATGGTTGTTTAATGGGTGTCCACTCTCACCCACCGCTTCCTTGATTGGTGGAGGGTTGTTAGCCGAACGGGTAGGATAGGAAAACTAATTCCTCATTAAAAGAATAATGATTAATAAAGTAACTAAATATTTTTTATAAAATTTCCAATCTTAGTTACTTTAGGAAAATGTAAATTTGATGTTATTCTATGGAATTACACTTTGTACCCTTTCTAAGACGTTAATGGAGCATGTGTGGTTAACCGACACACTAATTTGGCTCTAAGCAAAGGAGGCAAAGGGTGACTCAATGATTTTCATAGATCAATGGAGCGTGTGTGGTTAACCGACACATTCATTAGGTGACTGTAACATTGAGGGTACCATGTACATTTGCATGGTTATTCACACCATATTTGTGATCCTCAATATCTCAGTTACAAAGTTGAGGGGCATATCGAGATTTAAACATGCCATTGAAAAGTTCAATGAATCTCAAATGATCTAGGAGTTTCTAAACATATATAACTTAATCACTTTTGTTTTTCATGGTTGAAATTGGTGAATCATCATTCACTTACCTTCAAATTAATTGCAATTTAAATTATGGCATCCCTCTTTTAAGTTGTAAATAATGTTGTTGGATCTTAACCCTAATTTCTCATTTTGGTGTTTAATTGGGGGTTCTTATCTAATCAAACTTTGTCTCTTTCCCTTTTCAGATGTTGAACTCGAACAACAACCACGCTTCAGGCTAAACCTCATCCGACTCGTTCTCACTCATGAACTTGTATGGGAGGGTGATCTTCGATTGGACCAATTTTAATGATTAGATCTGCAACATCCAAATGGTTACCCGCTACAAGGACAAGGAGCATGTCCTCTACAAGGAGCTGAAGGAGGTGAATGTAAACACTGCTACTCCCAAGGAGATTGCTGCCTTGGAGGCCCACGAGTGAGATGCTACGAAAGTACATTGCATCATGCTCGTGAAAATGACTGTAGAACTCTAGCAGTCCTACAAGAAATACTATTTGTATGAAATGCACCGCGATTTGCTATACCGGTACCACCAGAGTGCTAGGGAGGAGAGGTACAAGATCATCACTTCGATGATCACGACCAAGATGAGGGACGGAGAGTCTGTCACTGCTCATCTACAGAAAATGCAGAGGTATGTCCACCGCCTGCTGAAGTTAAATGTTAACTTCGATGAAGAGATGGAAATTCACATCATTCTTCATTCACGGTCACCCTGTTTCAACCAGTTTCGCATGACCTACCACATGAACAAAGAGGAGGTCAGTTTGAGTAAGCTTCAAGGCTTTTTGAGGACTACTGAGAGCAACCTCAAGGATACATCTGTTGCATCGAATCCCACTACAGCTGCCCCAGTCTTGGCTATTAGGCAAGGAAAGGGTAAGAACACTACAAGAAAAAGACCCTTTTTACGACGCGCAAACCATGACACTCATTGATTTATGTTACGCAAAAGAGAGTAACATTAAAAAGTGTCATCTCTTTAAAAAGTTTAACGATTTAGGTTACGCATTATTGCGTGCCCTTAAATTAGTGTCTAAACAAAAAAGAAAAAAAAAACACGGAGGGCACATGTGTGTCATCTAAAGGCATCGCTTTATAAATTTTAATGGAACGCACGTTCCATTCTTTAATAGCAGGGGGGAAATGAAATCCTAAAAAATTGAAAACCCCGCGTTTCATTTAGGGTTTCCATGTAAACCCTAGACCTCATTTGCAGGTTTCGTTCTCTGATCAAGTTGTTGCTATTTGGGAAGGAATAACAAATTATGCCTCTCCACCAGCCAACAACCTTCACTCTATGCTTCTCACTTTCTCTGTAAACCCTATACCACATATACGGCTGTAACTCTTCCTCCCTTTCGTATTTTTGGAGCTTCGCAGCCATACAGTGGTCAACGATGTTGACTATCCTCTTTTATCCACCATTTTCTCCCTATGAGACGTTAAAGACACGCCATCCCAAACTTGGAAGAACTAGGGCTTTTGTTTGTTGGGTCTAATAGGAAACAAGTTTTCCTCGTCCCCACCCTCACCCATCCAAATTCCTTCTTCTTCAAATGATTATATGTCCTTACCTCTCAACCATACCTGAATCAATATCTCTATCTCTCTTGTGTCTATTCTCTCAATATCTCTTGCGCTTTCCTGTTACAGATAGAGTTTGAGAGCGAAAAGAAGAAAGAAGAAAGAAAAGATGTGCCTATTCTTCCTCTTTTCTTCCTATGGCTCGATCACAACCCTTCTTCTCCCTTCTTATTATTTCTTTTTTCTTTATTTGAGGGTGAGGGTGTGAGGTGGCGTTCGAAGGTTGTCAAGGGGTTGTGAGGAGATGATGGCTGGTGATTGTTCGGTAATGGAGAAATAAGGGTGTATTTGTGTGAGTGATTAACAAACTTTTAGCAACACTGAGTGCAGAAGCCCTAAAATTTTAAGCAACTTTCAGAGGGAAAAAGGGAGAAAAGAAAAGAACAATGTATCGAGAATCGGGAAAAAGAAGCGGAGAAATAACCAAATCCATCTTCGATCCCTACCAAATGCATGTAAGATTTTCTCATGAGATCGTCCAACTTGGGGGTGCTTCTCGCGTCTTCCTGATATGCTTTGGAGTTCATTATTGGTATTTTTATAATTTTCTATTCCTCTAATCTTTATACATACACACACCTTTTACCTTTGTTTCTTGAACTTTTGAGTATTCTTTATCTACATAGGTATCTTGGACACTGTATAAGTTATGCGGTTGTAGGGTTTGCCTTACTTGGCGCAGCCGTGACTTGCCACCTATCAGTTACAAATCCTTTAGCAGCAAGAAGAGACGCCTTACAAATCACTGTGATTCGCCACAGTTCTTCAAGTTCAACAGAAGGTTGTGGTTCAATTGTGAAACGTAGTAGTAATGCAGAAACTAGTCATTTAGGTAACAATTGGAATCATGCAGAAGGAATCAACAGTAAAAAAAGCTTAAATAGTGGAAGACCTAGTGTAGTTCTATATAGTAGTTATTTCAGATCAATTGTCCAAGAAGCTGAAAGAAACTTTGACCAAAATAGTGATGAGTCAACTTCAAATCAGCAAACACTTGACTTGAACTTAGCTTTGACGTTTCAAGAAAGGTTAATGACCCAGGAATCACGTCTTTGTTGAAGAAAAGGGCAAGAGAAGGGTACATTGAGTTGACTAATTTTTTACAAGATAGGGGTTTGGATCCGAATTTTGAGATAAAAATGCAGATAAATATCTTACCACCAGCTGCATTTTGTGATGAAAAAACGGAGAAGTTCTGGAAAAATTGATGACAAGAATGGATAATGGAACAATGGGAGAAGAACTATTAAATCAACTCCATTGATGGTGCTAACAATGGAAGCTCTCTGGTGGTTATCTCAAAAGGGATGTTGAGATTTTATTTTAAGAGTAGTTTGCATAATGCATAGTCTTATTGTGTATTGTGTATTCTTATTTTATGATTAGGACTTCTCTATTGTTATTTTCGGTAATGTTTAATCATCTTAATATGGTTTGTGAGTTTTTATTAATCATCACATGTGATTCTTGAATATTGTACTTATCTTTAGTACAATCTGCTATGAAATATATATGTTATCCTAATATGCTATCTGTTACAGTTTTTTGTTCTAAAATGTTGTTATATTTATAGATGGGTTCAAGTCTTCATATTAGATGTTCTTTCTAAATACAAGGCAGCTGATGCTCGTGAAGTTGAAAATATAGTAGAGAGAGTCACTCCAAGACTGCAACATGCAAATTGTGTCGTAGTTCTTTCACCTGTTAAGGTGGATTTGATTACTTATTGTTTCAAAATAAATTACTTTTCATGAAGCATAGGGACAATATTGCAATGTACTCTTTTCCTTTTGTATTTGTCATATATCCATGTTCTGATTTCTCTACTTTTGAACATGATTAGGTTAAAAGATGATCCCTCAACAAATGGATCTCATCAGCAGTCCTGATGTGATTCAGAACCCCTGCAAGAAAATGGCTCATCCTCTTGTGACATTACTTTCTGCAGAAGGAGATCCAATATGTTTCACTAAGGAACATCAACCTTATTGTACAGAGGCGTCCTACAATTCTTGCTCATGAAATTAAGGTATCATGCTTTAGTATTTGCTTCTTTTCATACCCTTGTTTATATAATCTAAAGGGTTGAATGAAAAAAATACTACACCTACTTTCTAGGTATTCTTTTGCAAGTAAAACCATCCAATATATGTGAAGTTGGAGAAGTTAGAGGTCATGATTAAGCTTGCTTCAGATAGAAATATTAATCAGGTAACTAAAACTCTCTTACTTTGCATTTGTTAGTTGTTACAAAACACAAGACTGGACAAATATTATATGCTAAAGATTATACATTTATGAGTATTTTTTTTCTCGACTAAAGCTAACTAAATTGGCTATGTTTCTTGTTGTTTTTGTTAACCAAAGTTTATCAACTTTGTGAATATTATTCTGACTTGTTTTGATATTTATTTTTGATATTTTATTCTTAATGTTGGTTCTAACTTCATTTTTTTTCTTTTTTTTTTAAATAGTTAAAAGGGACCTGAATAGGGGTTCTCTGAATTTGTAGTGATGGCTGCAGACACTAAAGATTTTGAAATGATTTCCCAGATTCCATTCCTTACTAAATATAAGGTATGTTTCTAATATTTTTGTATTTGTATTTTTACACTTAACAATGCTGATAAAGTTATAAAAACCAATAATGTACTAAAAAGATACTAAGGAAGAGTACAAGTCAAGTAGGTAGCCATTAAGGGGCTAAGTTGATAAATAAATCATAAATCAATGAGTTTGATGTTATTTTTATATATATAAATTATAAACATATAATTGCAGAATGTAGCATATGTTTTTGTTGCTTCAAAAGAAGAATTAGGGAGAGACATTAAACAACATTGACCATGAAGCAATGGTTGTTGACCCTGCACTTGTATTAACCATCCAGGTTGGCAGTTGTACAAGGGAGGGGCCATGATAAGGCCGCTGATTGGTGGAGTGTTGGAATTTTAATGTATGAAATGCTTACTGGAAAGGTCGGTGTGCTGTCACCCTTAATTACTTTAAATTACTATTAAATTCCCCTTACTTTTAGAGTGAGGGTAAAAATGTAATTTTATTCGACATTGTGTCTTTGCAGCCTCCGTTTATAGGTGGACACAGACAGAAGATTCAGGAGAAAATAGTGAAGGACAAGATAAAGCTTCCGGTATTCTTGTCAAGTGAAGCACATTCGCTTTTGAAAGGGGTAATGTTGTAATTTGTAATACTATATGCATGTGTTATAGTTGTTGGTTAATATTATATGCATGCGAATACTGCAATTTCTATTTTGAGCTTCACCTGATGGAGAGGTACAACCGTTCATGCTATTTTAATACATGTTGAAACAGAAACACTAGAAGTTTTTCAATTAATTTTTAATATATATATATATATATATATATATATATATATATATATATATATATATATATATATATATATATATATATATATATATATATATATATATATATGGTAGGGGTTGATAACTTTCTCTTAGCTTGGTTTAATGATAAGATGGTGGTCATTAGGATCCATGTGATCAGAATTTCCCTGGTGCTCCAACATTTTTGCCAGGTAAACCCAAGGGCTATTTGGTCATTAAAAAATGTTAAATTTTTATGGTGTCTAATCTGTTATTAAATTTGCAGTTGTGCAATTTGCGGGGCAGCATCCTGGTGGGCTTGGAGTTCCTGCTGTTGGCATGGCGTTCCCTGGCTATGTTACTCAACCCAATGGAATGGGGAATTCAGAAATGACATGGTACTTCAAATATATATAAGTAAATAAATATTTAAGATAATAATAGTTAGGTGAGTAAATGGTTAAAATTGTGAAATTTTGTTGTAGGCTACCTATTTTGGCTGGTGCTACTGGGGCTTTTGGCTGCTTCACCTTATATCACAATGGATGGTGCTTATCATGCTATGCCATCTGGCCAGACCTCTACATTGCCTCCTACAAGGTATGTTACTTGTTATTATAATTAACGATTCTGAGGGTATTTAGGTCATTTACTCATAATTTTGTGTTTTCAAGTTTACAGGTAGATCACACTTGCTTGGCTAAACGTTATTCTGTATGCTTTCAAATTTGTCTTCTTCCTGAATTCTTTTTCTTTGTAAGTTTAGCCTTATTCTTTTCTTCAATTAAGTGTTCTCTGGAGAGTGTTGTATGAACAACAATAAATCAACATTTTTTTCCTTCTTTTTCTTGTACGAACAATACATAGTCATAGTTTGGCTTATTTAGTTGCTTATTTTGTTTATTAGTTGCTTGTTTTCTAGCTTATTACAGTTACTGATTGGTTTCTTGTTATGCTTAAATCTTAACAGCTATCATGGCAACCTTCAATAATAGTTTTGGACCGGCACCTTCTTGCAAAAGATATCGTGTACGTGTTCTTCTGCTGCTATTGTGGATCCGGGAACATCCTTGCTTACTAGTCCAACTGTATGTATCTCACGTGAAGCTTCTGCTAGAATTATTAATCTTAGAGATTTCAAGTTTTTCATATTTCTTGTATCTAATTAGTTTGTAAATTTCCGTTACAACTTTTATTGATTTGTTTTATCTTTCCATGGAACGATTATTTGTATGACATTATATTTTGTGCAATGAATTGTATTTTTGTATATGATAATTTATTTATTAAGAGACATTAAATGAAAATTTAATTCGAAAATTAGTAATTCTAGAAATAATATTTTTTTAAAACATATAAATTTACGATACGCAAAAATGTGTGTCATCTTCATTTATGACATGGTCTCTCTTGACAGGGGCTTCCTTAATACGCAATGTGTGTCATAAACACGCGCGTCGTAAGGTTACGACATGCAAATGCGTGTCGTCTTCCTTTACGACAAGGCCTTCCTTGATATGCATTGTGCATTGTAAATGTGCATCGTAAATGCGCGTCATCTCTCTTTATGACAGGGCCTTCCTTGACGCGCATTTGCGCGTCGTCTGAGCGTTTTACGATGCGCAATGAGCGTCGTAAAAGGTTGTTTTTCTAGTAGTGGAAGAGGAAGGCTCCCTAAAAGAGCCACCATAAGGGAAAGTCCTAAGATGGCACCTCTTCTAGTGGAACCAAGGTTGGTCTTGTTGCACCCTCTTCAAACCCAAAGGATGCAGAGTGTTATCACTGCCACGACAAAGGGGATTAGAAACGATGATGCCCGAAATGTCTGCAAGATATCAATGACGGAAAGATCAAGCTATCCTACGCAGGTATTTACACTATTTAATCTAATGATTCATCACATGCTATTTCTTGGGTTTTCGATACAGGGTGTGGTTTTCACATTTGTTCTGATTTTCAGGGCCTAAGAAGAAATAGGGATGTGGAGCATGGGAAGATAAACTTGATCATGGGGAAAAAAAGAGTGTTGCTTGTCACCAAGATTGGAGATTACTCTTTAGTGCTTAGTAATGGATTAGGACTAGATTTAAATAACTGTTGCTATTCACCAGAAATGGCAAGAAACATCATTCATTTTAATGGTTTGTATAGACAAGGATTTAGATATTCATTTGATAATAAAACGGCTTCTGTTAATTCTTATCTTAATGGTGTTTTCTATTTTGAAACATTGCCTTGTAATTGAATATATGAAACTGTGACAGTTGTAGACAATCTAGGAAATGATGGGTTGTGTATCGATTCTTCCAATGGTTTGGATAAAGAATGCTTGTGGCATTTTCGTCTTGGACATGTCAATAAGAAGTGCATAGCCCAACTGAGTCATTTGACCTTATGGACGATGACGTGTGTGAATCTTGTTTACTTGAAAAGATGACCAAGTCGCCCTTCACTGGTACTTGTGAAAGGGGTGAGGGTTTATTGGATCTCATACACACCGATGTGTGTGGGCCCTTTAGATCCACCACAAGGGATACAATTCGCTTCTATGTCACTTTCATCTATGATTATATCAGACATGGGTATATCTACTTAATCAAGAACAAGTCGGAAACCTTTGAAAAGTTTAAAGAGTTTAAGCAGGAAGTGGAGAATCAATAGGGCAAGAAAATCAAGATGCTTCGATCTGATCGAGCTGGAGAGTACCTTAGTCTTGAATTCCACGACAACCTCAACGAATAACGAATCGTTTTGCAATTGACGCTGCCTAGGACACCACAGTTAAATGGTGTGGCTGAGAGGCATATTCGAACCTTGATGGACATGGTTCGTTCCATGATGAGTCGTGCTTCGCTACCTATCTCATTATGGGGGTATGCCTTAGAGACTGCCATCCATATCCTTAACTTAGTCCTTACAAAGAAGGATTCCAAAACACCTCACAAGATGTGGACAGGGAAAGCTCCCTCGTTGGCGAATATCAAGGTTTGAGGTTGCAAGGCTTTCGTAAGATGAGAGACTCACGGCAAGCTCGAACCTTGTAGTGAGCGGTGTATTTTCATCAGCTATTCGCATAAGTCCTTTGGATATCTCTTCTATAGACCAAGTGACAATGTTGTCGTCGTTGCGAGGAGAGGGGTTTTCCGAGAGCGAGAACTCATAAGCCAAGGGGACAGTAGGAGGCAAATCAATCTTGAAGAGGTTCAAGAATCGAACGATGAAGGAACCTCTAACACTGGTACTCAACTTGAGGAGGAAACTCCTGTTGAACCGATTGAAGAGTCCTTACCTCTTAGACATTCCAGTAGAGTTAGTGCTCTGCCTGTGTTGTATGGTTTTCATATAACAAGTGAGGGTGATACATTTATTAGTGACAATACACTAATAAATTTGGATGAACCTAATAGGTGCATGGAAGCCATGGCAGCCCAGAGTCTGAAAAATGGAAAGAGGCTATGGATAACAAGATTCAGTCCATGTATGACAACCAAATTTGGATTTTGGTTGACAATGTGACATGTCGTAAGACGGTCGGGTGCAAATGGATCTTCGAGAAGAAGACCGACATGGATGGGAAGGTACACACTTATAAGGCGCAATTGGTTGCGAAGTGCATTACTCAAACGCCCAGAGTTGACTATGATGAGACCTTCTCACCAATTGCGAAGATAAAGTCTATTAGGGTGATGCTAGTCATTGCTGCATTTCATGACTATGAAATATTGCATATGGATGTCAAAACCACTTTCCTTTTTGGGAAGTTGGCTGAGGATGTTTACATGAGTCAGCCATAAGGTTTTCATGGACCTGATGAACAGAGTATGCCGACCTTACTTGGATTAGTTCGTCATCGTTTTCATTGACGACATCCTGATCTACTCCCGGAGTAAGGAAGAGCATGGCGATCACCTCCGACTAGTTTTAGGAACTCTACGAACGGAGAAACTTTATGCGAAGTTCTCGAAATGTGAATTTTGGATCCGAAGAGTCGAATTCTTAGGACACGTGGTAAGCGAAGAGGGAATCCACGTGGACCCCTCCAAAATTAAAGCCATTGAGAACTGGTCAGCACCGAAAACGCTGACAGAAATTCGTCAATTTCTAGGTCTTGCTGGCTACTACCGCAGATTCATTCAGAACTTCTCCCGAATAGCGAAACCTCTTACAACCCTGACCCAGAAAGGTGTGGCCTTTGACTGGGAAGAGAAACAAGAGAGAGCGTTCCAAACGCTCAAACGAGCCTTGTGCACCGCGCCAATACTATCTCTCCCCGAAGGGATAGAAGACTTCGTAGTCTATTGCGATGCATCGAACCAAGGGCTCGGGTGTGTTCTGATGCAACGAGGTAAGGTCATCGCCTACGCCTCCCGACAGTTGAAGACACACGAAGTTAACTATACGACACACGATCTTGAACTGGGAGCAGTAGTGTTTGCTCTGAAGATTTGGAGACATTACTTGTATGGAACGAAGAGCACTATCTTTACCGACCACAAGAGTCTACAACACATATTCGATCAGAAGGAGCTCAACATGAGGCAACGACGGTGGGTCGAGCTACTCAGTGATTACGAATGTGATATTCGTTATCATCCGGGTAAAGCCAACGTAGTAGCAGACGCCCTGAGTCGGAAAGAATATTCTGGTCGCAAGGTCAAGTCGCTATCAATAACCATCCATTCACACTTGTCTAACCAAATTCAGGCGGCCCAACTTGAAGCCATGAGACCTGAAAATGTGACGGGTGAATCCCTTAGAGGAATGGACAAGAACTTAGAAGCCAAGGGTGACGGAGCCTTATACTTCATGAATCGGATTTGGACACCGAAACACGGTGGTTTCCGAGACCTAGTCATGACCGAGGCGCACAACACTCGGTATTCCGTCCACCCAGGTTCAGATAAGATGTATCTGGATCTTAAAAAGCTATACTGGTGGCCTAATATGAAAGCAGAGATTGCTACCTTCGTATGTAAATGCCTTACTTGCGCAAAGGTAAAGGTCGAATACCAGAAGCCCTCTGGTTTATTGCAACAACCAGAAATTCCAGAATGGAAGTGGGAGCGGATCACTATGGATTTCATAACCAAATTGCCCAAGACAACGGGTGGACTTGATACCATATGGGTCATCGTTGATAGATTGACCAAGTCTGCACACTTCCTACCTATCAAAGAAACCGACAAAATGGAGAAACTTACGAGAACATACATTAGGGAAGTCGTACGATTACATGGTGTACCTATATCCATTATCTCCAATCGAGATAGTAGGTTCACCTCAAGATTTTGGCAATCACTACAACATTCCCTAGGAACAAGGCTGGACATGAGCACAGCCTACCATCCACAGACTGACGGACAGAGTGAGAGAACAATCCAGACTTTAGAAGATATGTTGCGTGCTTGTGTAATTGACTTTGGAAAAGCATGGGATACTCATTTACCCCTCGTTGAATTTTCCTACAACAACAGTTATCACACGAGCATAAAAGCAGCACCATTTGAAGCTCTCTACGGCCGAAAGTGCAGATCCCCTCTGTGCTGGGCTGAGGTGGGTGATACCCAATTAGCGAGAGGGCAAGCTTCCGACAGTACTCTCACTGGTCCGGAAATCATTCGGGAAACGACAGAGAAGATCATTCAGATTCGTGAACGATTGAAAGCCTCTAGAGACCGACAAAAGAGCTACGCTGATAAACGCAGAAAACCTTTGGAATTTCAGGTGGGAGACCGAGTCCTTCTCAAAGTCTCACCCTGGAAGGGCTTGATACGCTTCGGTAAGCGTGGGAAGCTTAATCCTAGGTACATAGGGCCTTTCGAGATTCTCGCTAGAGTCGGCCCCGTAGCTTACAAACTTGATCTACCCGACACACTTCGTAACGTACATTCTACATTCCACGTATCTAACTTGAAAAAGTGTCTGTCCGACGAGACTCTCGTAATCCCACTCGATGAAATCGAGATCAACGAGAGCCTCAACTTCGTGGAAGAACCTGTAGAGATCATGGACCGTGAGGTCAAGCAGAAGAAGCAAAGTCGTATCCCTATCGTGAAGGTTCGCTGGAACGCCAAGCGAGGA